GCACAGATATGAATGGATGAACATTTAGAACAGGCCTGTGTACTCAGTGCAGCTTGCTTTGTGGTGTCCTGGTACCTGCCTAGACTTGGTGAGAGTAGTGGTGTTCACTTTTAAGACAAAAAGTGACAGCCAATGCCTCTTTTCTGCTCCTTATTCTTTTGACTACCATCAGAATAGAACATGATCAGAGGAAAACAGTTTGTAAGAGGCGGTAGCAAAGACATATGGAATTATTTTCTAGGTTTTGAGTTTGGTTTGTTTGATTGGTTGGTTGATTTTGAGACAAGGTCTCACTGTGCAGAAGGGTTGAGCTTAGACTCAGTATATAAACCAGGTTAATCTTGAATTCCTGCTAATCCTCCTGCTTCAGCCTTTCAAGTACTGGGATTAAAGGTGTGTGCTACCACACCTGGCTTCTTATATCATTTATTTTACATATTTATTCGTTTTTATTTTTTAGACAGGATTTTGCTATGTAATTTAGGCTGGGCTTGAACCCCTATGTACCTTGTAATGGTGGCGGTCCTCCCCCCTTAGATTCTCAAGTGCTGGGATTACAGGCATGAGCTGCCACACCTAACTTGAGTGTAATTAAAAAGTTTTGTGTACTTAATAGGCCTCATTTTTTTTATTCTTGCATATAGTATGGGAAGGAAGATTAAAAAGCATGGTTTCTGAGAGTACAGTGAAGTGTTAAAGGGCTGTTTGTGTCTTTATTAGTCTCTGCTGTATAAAGTTTCTAAAATTGTGTTTAGATCCATTCTCCTTGATTCTCGGATCCTCTTCATTCTCTTATTAGAATTATTGAAAGATGTTCTTTGTTTTTAATAGAGCAGAAAAGAAAATGTGTGTGCTGTTTGTATTAGAGATTGTATCTGTTGGGTTGTTTTGTGAGGTTTATTCACAGGTCTCTCCAAAAAGCTGTTCAGTGTATAACACAGACATCCAGGCATACATATAATAGTTTGTATCCATCCATACCTTCTTACTTTTATAAAAGATTCATTAAAAAGTACTTTCTGAGAGGAGAGGTTAACTTCATTTTATTTGCAGCAAAGCACAAAAAGAATATTTAGGAAAATTTTAAAACTCTGATATTAGTTATCCAAAAAGTTTACCTTTTTTTTGTGGGGGGGGGGTATTAGGGATTGAATTTACATCTGCCAGGCAGGCATTTATGCCACTGAGCTATCTCCCTGGCACAGTAGTTTTACTTTTTTTTTTTTTTAATAGTTTTAGACACTAAAATTGAAGACACTAAAATTGCACTGAAGGAAAGTTAAATAAAACATTTAAATAAAGCTGATAAGCCCAGAATTTTAAAAGTATTTTCAATAATGAAAATTAAATTGATCCCTATTCATCTATTGCTTTTATGGACTTCTGGAACTACTATCTTGGTCCTGACCTGACATGTTTTGGAGTTTAAATTATCCACCTTTAAATCAGAAAAGTGAAAATTTAAGGTTCATGTCATACCGTTGGTGTTTGGACAACTTTATAGGTAGTATAGTTCTCACTTCACAAATAAACTAAGACCCCAGAAAGTGAAATGATTAAAATATACTGTTCGGTGTTAGCTTCTAAGAGAACCCGAACCAAAGCCCAGGCCAGTGCTTGCTGCCTCAGTCTTAATAGTTATGGGCTTGAGTTGTGGTGTAGACCACACACAGGCTTTTCATGCCAGTTCTGCTAGTTTTTTAAGTGAAGTTACTTAATTTTATGCCTTAGTTTCCTTATCTGTGAAATAGGAATAATAGTACCTGGCACTTGCATGCTGTGAATATTAAATAAAGTAACTGTCTAGTATAAGAGATAAAAACCAGATAACTTTTTTTTTGGGGGGGGTATTGTCTTACTATGTAGTCTAGGCTGTCCTGGAACTCATGACAGTCCTCCTGCCTCAGCCTCCTGAGTACTGGGTTTGTAGATGTGTGCCACCAGACTCAACTCAGAAAACATTATCTGTAGTCTTCCTGCCTATTTGGGGGACTCATTCACTGTATGTATTCAAGGATAACAGATCTAAATGGTAATTCGATAAAAGCAGCCACATACCACTCCAGTATTTTACTTTCAGAAAAAAAGACTTCCTATCAGACATGATTTGCTGAATGGAAAGGTTTTTGTTTTAATCTTCAGACCCATCCAGCATGCCAGTGGCAGAGACAAGTGACAGATGCCACATTTGATCCTTAACTGGAGTTTGACATTAAAGTGTACCAAATAGACTTTTCGTAGAATAGTCAAAATTCTTTTTGTGACATAAATTGGATCTTAAGTCAACTATTATAATAAATATCTTGGATCTCTTCCCACCCCTGCAGTATCATTACTAAGTGACCCATCTATTGGAACCTTTAAGATATATGTTAGGAAAGGACTGTGAAGGTCATTTTCCTATAATATCACAAACTCCCTACAACTCAGAATCTTATTGGCAAGGTGTACCTTCACCCTCGCTTGTCATCCTTATTTTGTAGAGAGATAGGTCTATTATTTTTTGTTTTTAAGCAATTGTACCTCCATTGGACAGATTTGCCTGCCTTTCCTAAAAGGTCACAGTGAGTTCTGCATGAAACCCTTGGAGCACTGTGGCTTCTGAATCTGGAAGAACACATTCTAGTGGATCTGACAGAAGCATCACTTGGTATCCAAAGTAGCTGGCGTTTCACTTGAGTTATGGGTATTGAATCCTCTGACTCCTGAGGGAATAAAACCTTAACAATTTGAAAATAAAACTTCAAATTTTTTCTGTGCTGTTTTTGTTTAATCCTCAGGAGTCAGTGTTTTCTGACCTCACACTGGTCGATGACTTGTACCAAGCCAGTAGGTACCTCCGAGGGGAGGGATGAACATTTCACCATGCCCATGTCCTGTATTCTCACTCATCCCTCCCTGTTGCTGCCAGGCTCTAACATGGTACCAAGATCAGTGATCCTGTGGGTAGGGTAGACCCAACACTGATCTAGAGAGCTACATTAAGGAGGGCTGGTTTTTTTTTATAACTGCTTAGAGCCATTAGATGATAAAATATTGTTAGAGAAGCCACAGTAAGGTAGATTTGTGTTTTTTGTTTTTCATCTGTATTTATTTGGTACAGGGTCTTGCTACACAGCTTAGACTCATAGTGATCCTCCTGTCTCAGCCTCTCCAGTGCTGGGATTACAGCTGTGCACCACCATGCCCGGTTTTGGTGACTGGCAGCCGGAGCTGGCACAGCATGCAGTACCAGGGATCAAACCCGGGTCCTTGCACTTGCCAGGCAGGTGCTTAGACCGCCAAGCTATCTCCCCAGCCCCAGTAGATTTGTTTTATTTGCTTCATTAAAACTTTCATCTATGAAAATAATATAGTATACTTCTGATGACATGTTCTATCTAGGAAAGGAAAAAGCAGCTACAGTATACTACCTATTAAAACTTTTTAGTGACTAAAGCACTGTAAACATATGGAGAGGCTTTACTTGGCTTGTCAAATATAACAGCACGTTAAAAATCATTCTTATTAAGCTGTTCAGCAGTTCTAGCATATGGAAGTGTGAAACCACACTTTAAAGTCTTCACAGACCATAAATTAGACCTAGTGGCTTCTAAATTGTGTTTCTGTAAAACACTTTCTATTAGATATCTGGGTGTATGTGTTTGTCTTTTGATAGAGTTGAGATGTAGTAACTTAATAGTGTGAATCCCACTAAGATATTTCAACATAAAGAACCCCCCAAAACTGACCTATGCTTTATAATACCATATTGCCACCTTGAGAGACTCTTGTATGAAAAGAACTCTTAATAAAAGAGAATTTCAGCATTTCTGAGTTCTCTTATTTAAGGTGTTAAGTACATTATAAACTGGAAAAAAATTTTCAAAGTAGAATTGTTTTTTGTTAGTAGCATGCTGGATGAACCTCTGGACATTGTTATAGCCTGTTTCTCGTGTCAGTGTTCAAATGTAGAGGAGTATTAGTTAGTGTTTGCTGTGAACACAGCATTGTTAGAGTATAAAAAAATTTCTTGTAACTTTCCTTTGTGATTAGGTAGAATCAGCAAATTTTTGGTTTTTAAATATGGACAATGGGTACAAAGCTAGACTTTTCACAGTTGTGTTAAGCCGAACTAAATAAGTGTTTGTTGATAACATAGTTTATGGGGTGTTTGATTTTGCTTATAGTTTGATTTAGTGCTTTATAAATTATTCCACTGGGTATTAATAGGCTTTGGGGGTTTGTTTTCTTCCCACTTTGTATTAAACCACCATATCCCTTTGTTGGGAAATTTCTAGCACTTTGATGTAAAGAAATTTGTGCAGATGGATGTAGATTTTTAGAGAATACCAGCTTATGTAAAATATCATGAAAATTAATTTGGGATTTTACAAGGAAGTAAATAGCTCCCCCCCCCCTTTTTTTCAACAGTTATTTCTGGAGTAGTTAATTCATTTGTGACTAATTTGTTCAGGTGAAGAGCAGGAACTTTATAACGATTTTTTGTTTTGTTTTGAAGGAGAGGTTTAAGATGCTATTTTTTTTTTTTTTTAACCTGCTGTGTTACTCCAAATAGGATTTAACAGTACAACAGTATCTGCTGTAGAGCTAATTTTTCTCTGAGATAACTCATAAAACTTTTGAAAAAGGTATATCATGTGATGTTTTAAGAGCAAACATTCAACTTTGGAAGTTACACATCATGATACCTTAAACCAAGCATCCCTTGGAAGTCTTTACTGTTGTCTCCATGTGCTTGGGGAAAGAAAATATCTGTATATCTAGGCAGCTCCCCTCTAGAAAGATAGGAGTCTACGTTGAGTAGTCACCCTACCTCATACAGTACCTGTAGGCACAAAAATCAGAGTGGTTTGAGCTAAGGAGAAGAGAATACTGACCCTTAGTTTGCAAAACCCACCTAACCTTTGCTAAGCATGAACCTCATTGCTTTCTCTTGAATGTTAATGAAGCTGGATATCAAATTGATGCCAACTGGGATTTTGTTTGCTTTCTTGTAGGTATGGTTTTGTGGAGTTTGATGATCTGCGTGATGCAGATGATGCAGTTTATGAACTGAATGGCAAAGACCTTTGTGGTGAGCGAGTAATTGTTGAGCATGCCCGCGGCCCACGACGAGATGGCAGTTACGGTTCTGGACGCAGTAAGCATTTAAAGGGCATATTTGTATCAATGACATGGCCTTTGTTATTGAATGTTAATTTTTAAAAGTACTTAATTGCTGTATTTAAATGTATCGATGTTTAAGCTGTTTGTTTTATAAATTTTGTATCTTTAAATGTAGAATTGCAAATAAAAATATTTGATGTAATGTAATTTAACTAATGACAAATTTCTTGTTTTAATCTTTTATAAATGTTTAATCATGTGTTATTTTTTTTTCTCTGTAATGCAATTGTTTAACATAGATTTAACAAAGACCTCAATGTTTTAATTAAAAGACTCCTTTGAGGCTAAGATGACTGCCTGTTCCATTTGCTGACCTTGGGTTACCTTTCCATGCGTGGCTCTTTGAACCATTGTGGCCCTTGGCTGACCAAAACAGGAAGCCATGTGACGACCGCAACCTTTCCCCATTAGACCTGGGTGGTGAGGATCCCGAGGGTTAGACACAGATGAGATTAAACTGAAATAGGTGCCTGAAAATCTTTTTTTCGTATAAAATATTCACAAAAACTTTAATCACTGTGAGTAACAGTAGGAACTGATTTAGTAATTTAATTACCTATTTCTAAATTGTTAAATTTAATATTTTAAAATTCATGCATGTTAATTTTAAATACAAATATTAATGAATATATATTTATAACCTTGTAAATTAAATTATGCTTAATTTGTAGCTCTTTATAAAAATTGAATTTAAAATTAAGGGTGGGACTAGAGTTAAAATCTATGTGCTGTTTGGGGTGGGAAGTATGTGTTGTGTAATCTTTTATATGTATTGTGGGGAATATGTGTTGTGTAATCTTTGCTTTTTCCTCCACTGAAGTAATGTTATGTATTTGGACATTTCAAAGGTGGATATGGTTATAGAAGAAGTGGCCGAGATAAATATGGTCCTCCTACCCGCACAGAGTACAGACTTATTGTGGAGAATTTGTCAAGTCGGTGCAGTTGGCAAGACTTAAAGGTTTGGATTTCATTATCCTTCTGGGATAAGGTTGGGCAGGAGTTGACATTGGGAAAGAGGTACATTTATGTGAGCATAAAGATAATGGTGTATCTCCAAAAGCTTCATCAGAGTGTTTGAAAATTCTCCACTTAAAATTTCCATGAGCGGGCATGAGGTCCTGAGTTCAATTCCCAGCTCCTAAACAATAAAAATAAAATTTCCATGAGTACAAAAAGACAATAGAATTTCACTCGTCCTGCCTATTGAGAGGCCATCACTCTTAAGTCCGTATCTATTTTATGAAATTTTGTTCTATAAACAGTGTTACAAGGAGATACCAGTATAGTTTCTCAGCACTAAAAGATTACAACCACCAATGTTTCTGGAAACACTAGCTATAGCATACAAATTTATGTCAGCTTCCAGTATGTATCCTTATGGTAAAATTGACCTTTTAGCCAGTTTTTTTTTTTTTTTTGCGGAACTGGGGATTGAACTCAGACCCTTGTGCTTGCCGGGGAAGCACTTATTCCACTGAGCCATCTCCCCAGCCCCTAGTGTTCTTTTAAAGTTTTTGTTTTCCAAGAAATATTTTTCCTGAAAGAATTTTAATGTCAAGAGTTAAGGTCCATGGCTGGAGTGTGGTGGCGCACATTTATAATCCAAACACTTGGGAGATGAGGCAGGAGCATTGCTGTGAATTCAAGGCCAGCCTGAACTACATAGCAAAACCCTGTCTTAATAAGATATACACACACACACACACAAAGAAACATACAGAAAAAATCAAGGTCCAGTCCTGCATGGCTATCCAGGGTACTCCAGTTCATTCCTTTCTTTCTTTTTTTAATCTTTTATTTATTTGGTACAGGGTCTCACTATGCAGCTCAGACTTGTAGTGATCCTCTTGTCTCAGCCTCTCCAGCACTGGATATGCATTGGGACTATGGGTGTGGGCCACCACTTGTGGTACCAGGGATCAAACCCAGGTCCCTATACTTCCCAGGCAGGTGCTTAGACCACTGAGCTATCTTATCTTCCCCAGCCTTCCAGCTCATTTCTTTTTTTTTCCTCTTTTTTTATGTATTTTAGTACAGGGTCTACGTGGTTTCACTACACAGATCAGACTCATAGTGATCCTCCTGTTTTTTAGCTTCCCAAGCACTGGGATATTACAGCCTCGTGCCACCATGCCCAGTCTCAATCTGGTCTCAGTGCGCTCAGGGGGCCAGGCCAGCGTGGCAGGTAGTGCCAGGATCAAACCATAGTCCTTTAGCTTGCCTAGGCAGGTAGGTGCTTTAGTCCACTGAGCTATTTCACTGACCCTACATTTATGTCATCTTAAAATAATACCTTTTGTTTGTTAAAATTTGCTCTGGACATTCTTCAGATAATAAAGATGAAATAAAGATAATAAAAATGAAATCCAGAAAAGTTTAAATCACGTTTGATCTTAGAGTTCGCAACAGAATTCTTGACTCTGAGAGTGGCAATTTTTTAATACGTTACTGTACTTTGTATTGACTATCAGCATTATGTGGTAGACCTTTACTGAATGTCTATCTGTGAAGTTGTGCTTGCTGGAAGAATGACTTCAGAGTTCTGAGAGGCACACCCCCCCCATCCCTTACTCCCATACTGAAAATTGAACTTGGACCTTCACTCTGAGCTACATCCCCAGACTTTTTTTGAGACAAGGTCTCACTAAGTTGCCCAGGTTGAGCTAGAACTGCAGTCCTCCTCCATTAGCCTTCCAGTACTGGGATTACAGTCTTATGCCACCAAACCTACCAGAAGTCACTGTCCTCATGAATACAAAAATGCCAAGCCTCGGAGCCGGGGAGATGGCTCAGTGGAGTAAGTGCTTCCCTGGCAAGCGCAAGGGCCTGAGTTCAATCCCCGGTTCCGCAAAAAAAAAAAAAAGCCTTTATGCAATGTCACTATGTATACTACAAATTTCTTATATAAATTTTCAGGTTTTTTTGGTTAAAAGGGAATCTACTTAACAGCTTTGTGGGGAGGGAAACAGCCTTAGTTGGCTATATACATTTATATTTTTGGACAGTTTTACTTTCAGGAAAACAGCAGTTTCCTGATAAATCAAGGTTTGCTTAAGAGCAATTCCTGAACTGAATCTTAATTGTGCCATTTTTGTGACTGTATTTCTCAACTGTAAAACTTGGTTAATAGTAATTTCTAAGCAAGATTATTGTGAGAATTAAGTACATTTTTATTAAAAAGTCTAGAATGGTTCCTAGCACACAAAAGAATGTTAGTTATAGGCCAGGCATGATGGCACACACTTCTAATCACAGCACTCAGGATGCTGAAGCAAACAGCATAACCACTGCCTGGCAAGCACAAGGACAGACCCAAGTTTGATCCCTGGCCCCACGTGCTGTGCCAGCCCCAGAACAGGGGCATGCCATGTCAGCCCTGGATCCCCCAGGCGCCGCGGTCTTGGACCAGAACAAATGCAAAGAAAATTTAAGAGATCTCATTTATTTAAAAAGGTTTAACACTCAGTATGATACCATTGAGGAAAAAATGATACACTAGTATACTGTTGGTCACATTGAGAAAGGTTTCATCTTGTCTGGGATGGTGTTAGGAATTGTTCCTGGAGTATTTCTCCTGTGTTCATATCCCAGCTCACTGGTTTATTACCTGAGTGATCTTGAGCTATTTACTTAATATTTCTGATGTCACTTTCCACATCTGTGAAATGACTCTGCCTTATGTGGTTATGGTTATAGTTAGGACCGAGTTAAATACATCATACAGTAAACATTCATGTTAGCTGATTTTATTACTTTTTTTTTTTTTTTTTTGTCTTTTTGAAACAGGGTCACTCGGGGCTGGTGAGATGGCTCAGTGGTCTAAAGCACCTACTTAGAACAAGCTAAGCTAAGCAAAGCACAGGGACCGCGGTTCAATCCCCCAGCACCACATGCCAGCCAGCCCTGCCCCCTGGTGGGCTGAGCTGGCCACACACACACACACACACACACACACACACTAAAAAAATAAATATTAAAAAAAAAAAAAAGAAACAGGGTCACTATGTAGTTCAGGCTGGCCTTGAGCTCCCTTTGTAGCCTAGGTAGTCTCAAACTCTCAGAGATCCTCTTGCCTCAGCCTTCAGAGTGTTGGGGTTATAGGCGTGTGCCACCACACCCAGCTGTTACTAATTTCCAAGTGTGACAAAAGTGATGACACTTCAAGCATCACCAAAACGATCCTGTATCTCATTTTGCCAGGACATTCCCAGTCTTGTCCTGACTACCTTCATTCATTGTGAAGGGTGTCCCACTTTGGATGGCTCCCTGCTTTTCACGAAGAACCTCCACTCCTGGAAACAGTTTAGTTAAAAAAAGAAATGTTTATCCAAGATCTCCCTCCCCAGATGTTCTTGACTTGATTATGAACAACAGAAAAAAATCTGATATAACCTAAAAGTCTTAAGTATTGGACACACTATGAAGACTGTGTCTGTATTAAAACATGTGAACATGAAAAAAAAAATCCTTATTCCATTTCCTACCAATTTGATTTGAAACTGTCTCATTGTTATTTGCTTGTCAATAAAATTATGGGGAAAAAAATAAAGCAATTTCCAACCTCAAAAAAAACATGTGAACATGTTTATGATGCAGTGAGCAAAGAATCAATATAAAATTACATTGTAAGGACCTGGGGCATGAGACTGGTGCAGTAGCAGAAAGTCTGCCCAGCATAGTCCTTGGGAACATTCCCCAGCACTGCCAAAATAAACCCAGAATCATGGGTTTATCCTGTGTGAATGTAGTATTTCAGAAAAGAAACATAAAACACAAGCTATTGAATATTATATATTTGTTCTACAAATACCTGTTTGTATATCATGTAAACAAATGTAGGGAAATTAGCAATGAGCAGGAAATTTTTAAAAAATTTTGGGCCGATGGGACCAGAGAGATGGCTCAGTAGAATAAGTGCTTGCCTGGCAAGCACAAAGGCCTGAGTTCAATCCCTGGTTCCACCAAAAAAAAAGAAATTGGGCCGGTGAGATAGCTTGGTGGTCTAAAGCACCTGCTGGGGCAAGCACACAGGGACTGCAGTTTGATCCCTGACAGCACATGCTGCACCAGTCCAGCCCTCAGGGTGGGCTAAGATGGCCACAAAAGAAAAATTATTAGACACATTACCATTAATCCCCCCAATACTCTTGCTCACTTCAAACACGTTCCATCATTCTTGCCACTTGTAAGTACATATTCGCAAATACATGGCTACACTTAGGGGGAGTTGGCAATAAGCATTAAGTTTCAAATTCCAATTTCATTTTCTTTTCAAACCCCACAATGACTCAGCCTTTAGTATCTTTGTTGTATTGTCACTGAACTTGTTTTTCACTGTAGTTCAGGCTGGCCTTGAACTCACTGTGTAATCCAGGCTGCCATTGAACTTGCAGCAATCCTTCTGTCTCAGCCTCCGAAGTGCTGAGAGTACAGGTGTGCACCACCACATCTGGCTCCACGAAACCATAATGAAACCTGAAAGAGAATGAGGCAAAAGGCTGTGGCAATAGGACATAGATGGTCATGCCACTTTAAAGCTAGAATTGGATAGTTGGGTTACACTATCATAATAACGGATTTGCTTATGTTTTGCCAATTTCTGTGTGTGTGTGTTATTTCAAATAAGGATATATAATGAAATGTAAAAGACCTAGGAGCCAGTCATGGTGTTGTACATCTGTAATCTCAGCATTTGGGAGGCTGAGGCAGGTGGGTTGCTACAAGTTCAGGGCCACCCTGAACTCCATAGTGAGACCTTTTCTCAGAAAAGCAAAAAAAGGGGGGGGGGAGATAGCTCAGTGGAATAAGCACTTCCCTGGCAAGCGCAAGAGCCTGAGTTCGATCCCTGGTTGTACCAAAAAAAAAGTAAGAAAAGAGAAAAAAAGACCTAATTTAAGCATAGAGATGTGACCTGCTATAAATAATTTGCTGCTATAAAAATTTAGAAAATGATAATTAAAAAATTTTATATTCACAAGTGAATTTATTTAAAGGAACAATTTAATTTTGTTTATGATTATCTTTACCACATATCTAATCCCTGATGCGCCCCCTCCCATGCCTTTAAGAACCTTAGTAAATACTTGGTGGGTGTATGGAAGTATTTAAACATAATCTTCATTCTCAGGAAAACAAATGTTCTTAAACGAGAAGAAAAGCTTTCACTGTAATAATTGCATCAGGTATTTTAGCAAAATGTATCCTAATGTACTCAAGGATTTTTTTTTTTTTTTTTTTTGCATCAGGTATTTTAGCAAAATGTATCCTAATGTACTCAAGGATTTTTTTTTTTTTTTTTTAAGGATTATATGCGTCAAGCAGGAGAAGTCACTTATGCAGATGCTCACAAAGGACGCAAAAATGAAGGAGTGATTGAATTTGTATCTTACTCTGATATGAAAAGAGCTTTGGAAAAGTTGGATGGAACTGAAGTCAATGGCAGAAAAATCAGATTGGTTGAAGACAAGCCAGGTTCTAGACGGCGCCGGTCCTACTCCAGGAGCCGGAGTCATTCAAGGTACCATGAACAGGAGTCTTAGTGATCCACCTGTTTACAGCCTCCCAAGTGCTGGGATTACAGGCGTGTGCCACCACACCCAGTCTCAGTAGCCGTCTCAGCGCACCCTGGTGGCAGGGCCAATATGGCAGGCCTGGGGATTGAGCCCCTGGCCTGCAAGCAGGCACTATAATCCGCTGAGCTATTTGGCCGGCCCTTGCCTTAGTGTTTAAGCCTTACTCATATTTCCCAGTTGCTCCATGGATGTCTTTATAGCTGGATTTTTTTTCCCCAATCAGGATTTAATCTAATCATATATTGTAAAGGATTATTAAGTCTTATTAACCTGGAACAGTCCCCCCATACCATCTTTTTCTTAGCTTTCTAAACATTATTCAGTATTCTGAATCAGTCTGGTTTGTTTTCTAACTATTGAGTGATTCATTATCCCCTGGACTGGGGGCCTTCCAGTTAACTCAGTTGTTTAAATGCCTGCTCATGCAAATACAGTCAGGTACAGGATACTGCAGTTTGATCCTCACCTCCACCTGCCTTACCAGACTCACCCTTAAGGCAGCATGAGCCAGCCAAAAAAAATCATCATTTGGATGTCCTATAAGGTGGAATTGAGTTCTGCAGAGGTCTGATTAAGATGCAGGTTAGAGGGCTGGTGAGATGGCTCAGTGGTCTAAAGCACCTACTTAGAACAAGCTAAGCTAAGCAAAGCACGGGGACCGCAGTTCGATCCCCCAGCACCACATGCCAGCCCGCCCCGCCCCCTGGTGGGCTGACCTGGCCACACACACACACAAAATAAATAAATAAATA